TCTACTTGATACTGACTTGTGGACTAAGTTGTGTCGTCTTTTTTGCTGTGCTCATCATCTGCATCCGTTCCACGTGATGAGCGTGCTCCTGTACTTTTAAATCGGCATCACCTTCCAATAAATATACAAGAATATATATGTAGGATAATACAGAAGGCTCAACATCAAGGCTGGCCCACTGGAGCACTGGCTCAGCTCACTAACTCGACTCACATTGTTGCAAGTAAGGACCTGGTTTACTATCATTTCGCACTTTCCTTCTCTAACCTGCTTAGTTTTACGGCTAAGTGTTGGAGTAGAAGCAAATGATGTTAGTTCTAGGTAAGCATGAAAGGAGGACAGACATGTCAGGATGAGGAATCGGACCTTATAAGAGAACATAAATACCACGTCAATTCTAATGCTTTTTACCTTTAATAGGCACTTGCCACTGCTTGCGATGTGCACGAGATTGGCTTTAGATTTCGAAGGCTTCCAAGTATGCTTCAATGATTCACCTTATACAGTTTCGTTGCTTTTTAGATTTTCGAGAGAAGTGATCAGCGCAACCTTTGTTACTTGATGATGTTACTCACAAATTCGCAATCTCTTTTGTTAAAACCGTTAGTCAGCTCATTGTAGCATTAAACGCTTCTGCATTGCTTCGAGGTACATAGCTCCTGTGTCGGAATCGCAAATGATCCTAATGGATTACATAAAGTATAAGGACGTATCTCGCATAACCGGTCCAAATATTAGGGGTCTGCCTGCTATTAAATACTCGAAATGATAAAGGCATAGGAGATGATACCGACAAGCGTCCCTCACGGCTCCTACCCCTTTTCACCTTGTACTTGACAGCCTTGGGCTCAGGTAACGGAAGTGCCTCCACATTCGTTTTCTAAGTGAGGATAATCACACTTAAATTGAAGAACCAACCGTATCCGCTTAAACCACCACTCGTCCATGAACTTGTGATGTTGGCAGTGCGTAGATAGCTTTAAAGCTAAATATCAAATCCTGGTCAAGACGCCCATGGATGCTAAAGTAAGAAAGCTAGGCAATAATGAGACAGTATTTGGCACCTGTTCTAGCCATGTGGATTCCACATTTGCTTTTTGGTGGAAATAACACGTGGCACATCTTCATCATGTAATCGGAGTACAGGTGAAATTATTACGTGAAGCATTCATTCGACGTACT